CTGCCTGCATTTACCCCTTCTGGTAGCAATTGGGAGTTTCAGGTCTCGCTTTATTATTCCAAAGTTATCTTTTCCAAAGATAAAATAGTATTAACTAGTATTAATTACTCATCAGGCACATAAAGGACATCTTCAATTTTATTTTCAGAGTATTTTCAGCTAGATATTTCAAATTTTCCAGATTTTATATAAAAATGTAAAGAAGGTAAAAAACAAACTCAACTGTCTAATATGTACCTATAGTATTATAAAATGTCTTTGTAAAGAGGGTTGTAACTCACAGACTTTGGAATCACACAGATCTGATTTATATTCTCATTGTATTATTTTTGTGTATGAGTTTATGAGTTTTCTTATGATCACATTCTGAGAAAAACATGCCTTTTGAGGAGAATATTTCATAAATAGTTCTCAATAAATTGCTTTGAATAGGTTATAACCTCAAGCAATTGATCAAGTAACAAAAAATGAGGAATTTGAGTTTGGGGGAGGGGCCATAATGGTTATAGAAATGTGGACCCGGATTAGGGAAAGTTGCATAAGGTAAAACCTCAAGTAGACTCACAGTTTGCATGGCACTTTCAAATAAGTTATTCTAACTTATCTACTCTACAGTATAGTAGTGTTTCTCAAATGTAACACTCCAAACAATGTCAGTCCAGAAACTGCTTGGTATTGGTCCATGACAAGACAAGCATAGATAATGAGAGTAATATTTAGAAACACTACGGTAATCTCTCATCCCCATGGCATAAAATTGTTGTGCTTACTTCATCACTGATCAGGTAACAAATAATTTGTGGTCAGGCACCAGTCTTTGGATCACACTGTGAATAGCACAGATATGTCATATGTAAACCCATCTTCTATCTCTATTATAAAACCTTCTGTGAGTTCAATTTGCTCCCTAGGTTTTTTTTGTTTTGTTTTGTTTTGTTTTGTTTTTTAAAGTAGATATGCATAGGCAACCTGAAGAAATCTTAGGTCCATACCCAGGTTAGCTGCGAGCAAAACTTTTACCTGAATACAAAGACATAAATAGCTAAGGATGAGAAGACAAGATAGGCCTTGATTACACATGGATTAGTATCAATTACATGTGCTTCATAAAAGCATTGGGTGAAAACATGTGTGAGGAGCCTATATGCAGCCTGGCAAATGTAGGAATTCAATATATGTTGCACACATTAATTCAAAAATAAGAAACTCAGTATTAACAAAAAAATCAAATAAGGAAAATCATTCCCATTGAAATTAACTCTAAAATGTTTATTGAATAACAAAGCCATTGTCTTATAGGTCAGTCTATATATTGACTCTTGTTTTCATCTAAAGAAAATGAGACAGGTGGTAATTCTGACAGCCTCTAGTGTACAGCTCTTCAGTTGAGTTATCCTCTATTACACTTCCTCCTAGTGATCTAAGTGATCTACCTGAGGTAGTGACATGGAATGTGTTACAGAGAGTGACAAACAGAAAAACATCCTTGAAACTGGTGGGTAATCTTGGCACATTCCTATTTAATACTTACTTAACTGGAAAAAATCTAGGCAATTAAATCATGTTTTATGCTTTGCCTTTTTTTTTTAAAGATCTCCACCATTCATTCTGGGGCATAGCTGGGTTGCCCAGCTATGTATGAAAACAACTCAGGGAAACTGAAGAGATAATTAGATTTTTTAATGTGGATAATAATAGTATCCAAAACCTGTAAGATACAATGGTTATCAATCTTCATGGATAAAGTGATCTGCAGTTAGGAGTGAGGAAAGGTATTTGGCAGTCCTCTGCAGTTTTTGTGGATATAAAAGAACACATTTTTTTCCACCTAAATTCTAAATATGCAACTCTTATGGTCCCACAAGTAACTGGAAACCGACAGACATCTCCCTGCACTCTTTAAGAATAAAAGCTATTGTAGACAGAATAATGAACTCCTCCTCCAGCCAAAGGTGTTCATGTCCTAATCCCCAGAACTGTGAATATGTTCCCCTGCATGGCAAAAAAAGACTTTACATATGTGATTAAGTTAAGGCTCCTGAAATGAGATTATCCTGGATCACAAGGATGGTCCAAAGTAATCACAAGGGTCCTGATAAGAGGGAGACAGAAGCACCAGAGAGCAAATGTGAAGAAGGAACAGAGGTTGGAGAGATGGGCTGTGAGCCGGAGGAAGGGGCCATGAGACAAGGATTGCAAGAGGCCTCTAGAAGGTGGAAAAAGTAAAGACATGGATTCTCTCCAAGAGCTTCCAAAAGAAACATAGCTCTGCTTACACCTTTATATTAGCCTATAAGGTCATTTTGGACTTCTGATCTCCCAAAATGAAAGATAATGAATTTGTATTGTTTTAAGCCACAACGTTTTTGGTAATCTGTTACAGCAGCAATAGGAAACTAATATATTAGTAAGAAGATAAATCATCACATGAAATGACTACTATTTTCCAAAGAAAGAAAAATCTTTGTTTTTTTTAAGTCATTAGCACCTACAATAAAATTTATTTCTGGGTTGAATAAATGATTTTGATAAACTCTTTTTTTATCAAAGTCATTTCAACTATCTTCAAGACCTTTATTTGTGTTTACTATTATATGTATCACAATTTCCACACATGACCACACAAAGGAATCCATTCAGAAATTAACCCAGGTAAGAGGTAAAACCCTAAAACCATAGCATAGTACATCAGTACACAGCTGGTACTCAGTAAATGTTTGAAAATGTTGTCATTTTTATTATAATATTGCTAGCTTAAATTTTGGCATGTTTTATTTTCTCAAAGACCATATTCTTTATCAAGAACTCATGCTTAATGTTCAAAAGAAATATTAGATATTTTAAAAATTATATGCTTGCCTGCTGTATCATTTCTTTTTTTTTTTTTCGGTACACGGGCCTCTCACTGTTGTGGCCTCTCCCGTTGCGGAGCACAGGCTCCGGAAGTGCAGGCTCAGTGGCCATGGCTCACGGGCCTAGCCGCTCTGCGGCATGTGGGATCTTCCCGGACCGGGGCACGAACCCGTGTCCCCTGCATCAGCAGGCGGACTCTCAACCACTGCGCCACCAGGGAAGCCTGTATCATTTCTTAAGAGGGCATCAATGAAGCAGAAAAACAGAAACCAAATTACATCTAACAGTATAATGTTGTAATAACTATTTAAACATGATTTCCTTTTGAAAAAACACTTTTATCAAAAGCTAGTCAGGGGACTTCCCTGGTGGTGCAGTGGTTAAGAATCCACCTGCCAACGCAGGGGACACGGGTTCGAGCCCTGGTCCGGGAAGATCGCACATGCCACGGAGCAACTGAGCCTGTGCTCTAGAGCCTGTGAGCCACAACTACTGAGCCCACGTGCTGCAACTACTGAAGGCCACACGCCTAGATCCCACGCTCTGCAACAAGGGAAGCCACCGCAATGAGAAGCCCATGCACCGTAACGAAGAGTAGCCCCGCTCGCAGCAACTAGAGAAAGCCCACACCCATCAACAAAGACCTAATGCAGCCAAATAAATAAATAAATCTTTAAAAAAAAAACACAAAAAAACAGCTAGTCGGGGGTACATTTTTCACAAGCATCTTCTGGTCATCTGTAGGTTTAAGTATGGTAAACTAAATTCTATTCACCAATATTCAGTGCCCCTCCCTGAAAGAGGATTCGGCTTGTTGCCACTTAAAGTAGGTGCTTCAGCTAACAAAGTGTGAACACAAGTGAGGCGGTAACTTCCCAGAAGAATCGTTAAGAACCAGTGCAGGCCTTCACAGAAAAATAGGTATGAATTCACTTAACTTTCTCTTCTGCTCCCCACTTTCCTCCACCTCTTTATTGTCTTTTCTCTGAAAGTCACACTCTTACAATGATAATAATAGCTATAAAAAAAAAAAGAAAGAAAAAAGAACCAGTGCATGTATCACCATGCTCATCCTCCTCTTTCTCAACGACTGGCAATGCCCAGGCAGTGGCTGTTCAGACAGCCTGTGTCTCTGAGCAAAGCCCCCAGCTGATTCACATAAAATGCAGCATGACCAAGGAGCAAGTCTCTGAGATTTGGGAGGCGTTCATGGTAAACTACTGAGATTTGGAGAATCTAGGATATTCTAGCCCAGCAGTTCTCAAAGTAAGGTCTGAGGACCTCTCAGAGGTCCCCAACACCCTTTTGGGCATTTCACAAAATTCTTCCTTTTCAACTACAGACCGGTGTAAGTTTGGATTTTCTTCATGTTCATCAACCAAAACAAAATACTGCAGAAGGTTGAAAGCAGAAGCAGGGGTGAGAATTCTAGTTTCTAGTAAGCCAGACTTTAAAGTAATTTCCAAAAATATAAAAGAATGTCACTCTTCTTCATATTTTTTTGTTTTGGAAAATATAATAATCTTCCTTAAGATTGTCTGTTTATGTTAACATGTAATAAATTTCTTACTGTTATTTTAAAATAAATTTTATCTTTTTTAATTTCTCAGTTTTAATTTCTAATATGGTTGATATCAATAGATAAAACCCACACAAGCAAAAGTTCTTTGAGGCCATTAATGACTTTTAAGAATGTAAAAGTGTCCTGAAACTAAAAAGTCTGAGAGCCTCTGACTTGCTTTTCCTGATACAGAAGTCTTTTGTGCTATCTTCTTTTCTCATTGCAGTTTTCCCAGAAAAATCAGAATAGGCGTTAAAAACAAACCTGCTTATTCTCTTACATGTGAGACAGAAAGTTCTCCTTTCTTGAACTTTTGCTATGCAAGGCATATTTGGTCTTAGGTCTTAGGTCTTTTTCTTTTTTCCCTCTTGGTTTTTATTTCTTTTTTCCTACATTTGTTTTTTCTTTTTTATTCTTTTCTTATTTTTATTTTACCTTAACACTAAACTCGCTAAGTTGAAAAAGAATTGGGGTAGATAAAATTCAAGGCTGAAATGAACCCTCTGGGATTTTTCTGTTAAACATAAACAATGAGAACACATTTAACTGGAAGGCTTTGCCTAACAAATGAATAATAATAACTCACCTATATTTCAGCCTTGCTGAATGCAGATTTCTGAACCTCCACCCAAGTGGGGTGGGAGTGGAGAGTTTGCATTTCCAAGTTGTTCCCAGGTGATGTTGATGCTGCTGGTATAGGCACCACATGTTGAGAACCGAATCCTGGGATATCATCAGCTGATGTGAATAAAGGACAGAAAGCTCCAGGTTAGTACCAATTCTAGGTCATTACCAATTCCAGGCCCTTTCCCTCCAACCTATTTTAAGGATATTATTGTCTTCCTCTCCCTGTCGTTGTCAACTCCACACAAGCTGGCACCTCCTAGCCAACCATCACTGAGACACAGGAATCACAGGTTTTCTTTATTCCAAGACTTGACAATTTTTCTATATTTTTTATCTTTTTATGAGGCCAGCTAGTTTTCATAGCTCCTTTAATGCTTCATCTTCAGCAAAATCATCCACAACTCAGCCTCTTCATACTCACATCTACACCTGGATCCTGTCTTCACCCCAAATTCTTATTGTAAATAAATAATGCAGAAACACTATACTCTCATCAGAAACTTCTACATTTCTTTTTTATGCAAACACCTGTTATAGCTATTCTTCAAGCAAATGTGTTTTTAAAAAAGTGATCCTTCGTACCACTATTCTAATAATACTAAAAACAATACTACCGCCATTTATTAAGTACTTGCTATGAGTTAGTTATTAAAGAAAAGCTTGAACCAGACAAGATGGGCATAGAGAAGTTTATTTTATTTTGATACTATGGCTGGCAAAAGAGGAGAGAGCACAGACCAAGTCTGGAAACTCAGTTCTGCTGAAACAAAAGGCAGGAGAGATTTTACAAGCTGAGATAGAGGATAGTTGGAGGATCTGTATTTGCTAACAGGTTTTACCCAAAAGAAAAGTAAATTTTCTCCAGGCAAGAGAAAGTTTTACAACTAGGAGCAAGATGCCCACTGAGGCTCCCACTTTCCCACAGAGACTGGGAGACAGAGGTGCTTCTTCCTTGATTAAATTTCAAAGGGATGGCTCCAGGGTCCAGAGACTTTTAAAAATATTTAAATCTCAAAGGGGCAGAGAAAAAGTTACAATACCTAGTTCTCTAAAGTAAATGCTATAGGAAAAGGGAGGTCAGGGGCCCTGAGTCAGGAAAAGGCCCATATATAGTTTAGACAAGCTAAGGGGAAGGTTAAGGCTATCTTGGTCATAGGCAGTGGGTTAAAGAATTCAATAATAGTGATAACAATAATAGCTAGCATTATTGAGATATAATTAAATGCCAGGAATTGTACTAAACATGTTATATGTGTTGTCTCATCTAATCTGATCAACACTGTGAATATTTATTGTCCCCAATGATGAAACTGAGGTTAAGGGTACTAAGCAATTTTCCAATATCTCATACTTTAAATGGGAGAGCCAGGATTTTGTTACTGTTTGCTCTGACTCCGAAGGCTGTGCCACATACTTCCCCTATTATCAGCAATACTTCCTGAAACCGTGCCCCACAGAGTTAACAGAAGCTGATAACATAAATTCTTGAGCTCATCTTACAGAACAACAGGTAAGGGAACAGCTTGTTAAAACCCCTTTACTTAGAAACTGCCTTCACTAAGTTCGCTTTCATTTTCTCTTTCCTTTTCTTCCCCCCCCACTTTTTTTTTTTTTTTTTGCGGTACGCGGGCCTCTCACCGTTGTGGCCTCTCCCGTTGCGGAGCACAGGCTCCGCA